GGCTATTGTGGAAATTTGGAAAATTCGGATATTTCCGCTACCTTTCACAGCCAATGACCAATTAATGCTAATTTGGCAACCCTTTCGGGCGATACAGGCGAATCGCTGAACCTGCAATGTTTTCTGGCTGTTTAATTAGCGCAGCGCAGGACATTTTTATGGCCAGTCGCAGCAGCAGCAGCAGCAGCATTAAAAGGACATTTCATGGAGGCAGCTGTTATGAGTCGTGCAATGTGTGCTGTGATTGATGGCACGGCCCCGCAAGATTTACATAATCCCAATGAACTTTGACCCAGCCGGCCGGACAGCAAGTGTGCAGAATTGCGAAATTATGAAAATTGGCAAAGAGGACATCATTTGTCATCGTTTGGCCCAAGACTTGATGGTGGTTGTTGCCGCCCGAATCGAACTGAATCGATATGGCAAGGGCTGTGTTAATGAAAACATGTGTCAGCAATAAAATGATAATCATGATTTACAGCCGAACATCATATTCGATGGATGATGCGAACGAAGAGCGAAGGTAATTCAAAGGCAGCTACTCCTAACTTGTGGCCAGGTCTGGCAACGCTGGCAATGCTGACAGCTCTTCCTCCGATCCTAAATTATAGACAAGTCTGGCAGCGCTAACAACGCTGTCAATCCCGTCTCAGTATGAAATAATAGCTACTTCTAAATTGTGGCGTGGTCTGGCAACGCTACCAACACTGGCAACTCTGTCTCAGATTGAATTACCAGGTAGTCCTAAATTATTGCCAAGTCTGGCAACACTGACAAAGCTCTCAATCCTGACTCCGATTGAATTAAAAGCTACTCCTAACTTGTGGATATGTATGGAAATGCTGTCAACCCTATCTCTATGGCCTGCTCTGGCAGCGCTGGCAACTCTGTTTCTGAATGAATTCACATGTACTCCCAACCGGTGGCCAGGCCTGAAACTCTGTCAACTCTGCCTCTGATATCTACTCCTGTCTGGCAACGCCTGTCAACGCCTTTCTCTGAATAAATTAACAGCTACTCCGAACCTGTAGCCAGGTCTGGTAACGCTGTCAACTCCGTTTGTGATTGAATTAACATTCTCCCTTTTAGAAACCACTAATTTGTTGCATTAGTGCAAAATTTAATTATTGTTTACATACTTGAGAAATGTGCCAAAAGCTTCCCCATTTGAAATTTGATTTGACAATTGTATAAAAAAGAGGGCTGCCAAAAGAATTGTCCTTAATTTGTACCAGCTAGCGGGGGAAAAGGGTTGACAGCTCGAAGGGTTGCGGCTTGAGTCAATATGTGCACGTAGCTCAAATTTGCATGCCAATCGAATGGTGGGGGAGGGGGTGGGAGGAAGTGCTGAAAGGGGAACTGGTGGCAACATTCATTAGCCTTCACTTGGCGTATTGTGATTGGAGTACTCACTAATTACCTATACAAACAATATGATAATAGATTTGCTGAAATTAAGACTGAATATATATACATATATTCCTGTGAGCATATGGCTAAATAATGAATACTGTCAAGGATTCATTGAATAGTAAACAGAGAGGAAAGGGTTAATATTATAAGCAAGCCTGCAAGTCGAGCTTTGCATTAAACAGTTAGAAACTGGAACTTGTAAATATTTTTCACTATAAGCCGAACCCTTTAACAACATAGTTGTTCGAAATTGTTTTAAACAAGAAAAATACAGAATGCAGTGATAAGTATAATTAACGTTGGCCCCATACATTTCACCGATCCAACCAAATTTCAGGTAGATATTATTTTTTGTCTATGACAATATTTACGGCTTGCAATATTTTCATATCAGCGGCCAATTTGAAGTAAAAAGTGAATTTAAGCATTTAAAAAATATATATATATCATATGGCCATGATAACTTTTCGTATGAGAATCTTGACATTTTATTATAGATCATCGAAGAAGGCAAATGTCCATAAGCAGTCACATATCATCGACTTCTACTTCTACTTAACAACTTTTATGTCTTTTCCAACTCTGCCCCCAAGCTTGTGGCATTTGCCAACACTTTTTTAACATCTGTTCAATGTTCAATCGCTCTTAAGGCACACTTAATCATATCAGGCATCTCCTTCTAATTAACTACCTTCCCACCGTTTCGACTTTCAAGCGCGCCATAAACTTTGGGACATGCTTATCAAAGTGTTTTGTTTGCACTTTTTAATTTACTGCAATTGAGCTGCCAAATCAAATTGCGATAAGAAACGCATAAAACTTGGCTCGCTCCCGGATGCCATGTGCCCCATATGTGTGTGTGTGTGTGTGTGTTTGTGTGTGTGCGCTGTAAACTAAGCCAAGTGCAATAATTCAAAGGCGGCCTCAGAGCACCTTCCCCTTTGGAAAAGCGAGTCGGTGCTGGGTCTCGTGTTCGGATTTGTTTTTTAAAATGCCGCAGGGATCGATTATTGCCGTTCAAATTCGCATAAAACGTGCGAGTTGCCAAAAAACGATTTTAAACTCGAGCCCAGACAATGAGAAAAGCCCACGAATTGGGGTTTGCAATCGGAAAAGCCTTGGCATATGTGTGTGCCCATGACGGGCCGGGGCCGGGGTCGGGGTCGGGGTGGGCAATAATTTAAGGAATTTGAACTCAATTCAAAGGCGCATTCAATTCCTGCACAGGCTGCGCAATTTCGCGATATGAATCTCAATAAAAATGCATTTAAAATGTTGACAAAGGAGCTCTCTCTCTTTTTCTCTCTTTGCCCCCCCTCGGTACACTTCATTTCGCGCAATTGCCGGGCCTTATACTGAGGGCACGACAATTGCTAAATGGAAAGCTTCTTCCATTTTGCACGCAATTTGGCCGTAACTCAGCCACAGCTGAGTCCGGCCCGGATCCGGGTTCTGGCCAACTGCTGCCTACTGTTCACATATATTTCAAATGTTTTCTGGCCCCCCCACAAAAAAAAATGGGGCATAAAATTATTCAAATACTTAATTTGAAACGAATTTCGAACATATTGAAACGACACACTGGAGAGTGGTTCCAGTGTGAACAGGCTTTGAGTTCCGCAAAATTTCAGCAGCTCAAGAGCTTAATAAGTTTATTAATATTAAATTTAAACAGATTTCTATATCAGCTAAATCACATACAAAAGCGATCAGTAGACCAAAATGGGACTCAGAGCTCAGTGATACAGAAAAAACCTGAATAATATCTTGTCTTATATGTGAATAATATAATAATAATAATCATTAGGGCTCAGATGATAAATCGAACTCAGAGTAAAGTTTTCAATAAGTGCCCGTTCTCTCTCTTTTCACTGTCACAAAAGTTTAAAATATCATCATATCATATCAAAATTCCGTAAAAGTTCAGAATAATAAGATCCCTATATCTTTAAACGAACACAAGACTAAAATTCTTGAGAAAGTTCTGAGAAACCACAGATGATAGATGAATTTAAAAATAGCTTTTAGCAAATGTTGCAGATGGATACATTTTCTAGTTTAAGCAATCAGAAAACTAAAATCCTTAAAGTTGCACTTGTAAAAAATGTCGAGCACAGGTTTTGAAAATCAATTGGCTCTGATTTTAAAGGATCTGCAGAAACCCCCAAAGCAAATTGGTTTTAGTCTAAGACTTTTAAAAGCAAAGAAGAAGCAGCCTTGCCCCTATATCATCATGAAGTCTCTAAGGTGGCGCCTAAGATAATAAAAGTAACAGCGCATTCTGTTTCTCAGGCATGTTTTTGGCACTCTATGCAATTATTAGGGTTCGTAATATAGTTGCATTGTGAATATTATGACAGTTATTATGAGGTTGGGCAAATGCTGGCTGGCCTCATGCTGTGCGTTCAGTTTGTTAGCACAATATGCACTGATTTCTGCAGAAAGGTCGTCGAGTGTAAAAATAATGTCATAAATTTCATAAAATGTCAAGCAAGGCGTACAAAACACCTGCCCTGAGGCTACCTGAGCGTGCGGAACACTGAGGAACTATGGGAAGAACTTCTAGAACGGGAATAACAGTTGATTAAAAATTGAGGCTCATTTGTGATGCAGTTTTGTGTGCGATGACAACATCAAAGTCAAAGTCAGAGCCAAAGTCAATGTCAGTGTCTGGAGCTGTTGTTGATCGTCTGGCAAGTGCTGGGTAATTATGTTGAACAATGAGCAACAATTCCAGTTGCTGCAGTTCCAATTAGTCACATTACACGACCGAAGGCAAAAACATGCTCCACACCATAAATGGTCAATAGAATGATACAACCCACGGCGACCAGTCTCAGTCTCAACAACAAGAACAAAAGATACAGATACAGCGGCTGACGCAGATACAGATATAAATACAGAAGGCATGCTGTAGGAGGCTGCACTTTGAAGAACTTGAGTAGCTTCTCTTGGGCTCGAGAGTCGAAATATATGTTAACTACACGAAATTTATGAACTTTGAGCTGTCTTATAATATAATAATAATGAGTTAGAGCAGAGTCCAACTAATTCAATTTGACAGACCTTATGACAGTTTATTAGATCAGCGCTCCTTAGCTGGCTGATTGGCAGCTCTGTCTCTGGCTCTGCCTCTGGCTCTGGCTCTGCTGTGGCCGAGCCAAATGCAGTTCGTTCGCTAATTGAATGCAATTAAAAAAGGAAATTAAAATTTAAATTACAGAACTGCGGCTAGGCACGTGTCCATCACTGGGACGCCAGATTTAGTCGTTGCCTGTGTCGGAGTCTCGCTGCCAAATGCCAAACCCTAAATGGCCCGGCCACGGCGATCAGCTTATAAGGATGCCAGCGCGATCATACCTGGAATTCTATTTTAATTTATGGAAACTCTCAACCGCCCCAACCCAACGCAACGCAACGCAACGCCACGCAACGCACTTTGCGCCAAATGTGGCCAACCACATTGAAATGCACCTTCTCGACTTTGGGGCAACAGAGGAGGCATTTTTCTGGACATTGTCGGGAAACTGTCTGATTAAGCAACAGATGTACCTATGCCTATTCCCCATTCAAATCTAGATATTATCTGCTTGATATTGTATTTATTTGGCATTATTATTGGAATTGCTGTGCAAAATTTTCTTATAAAAAGTGAGCTAAGCCAAGATTTTCTCTAATCTTAGCTATAACCTGGTCATTTGTTTGATATTTTATCCAGGGCTAGTTTGTGCTTGGTTTAAGAATATTCAACAATGAAATATAGCCATAATTTTAAGATAACGAACTAAGTTATTTGCCTTAAAAAAAAAAAACTAGAAAGACTTTCACTCTGCATCGTTTTTGTTCCTTCGAATATCCGTTTTCTGAGGAATTCTTCTTTGATAGCGTCTATTGATAGGGATTTCCTCAATATACGATTTCCGCTGCCACTGAAGATCATCAACGGACTGATTTAACTCTGTGTGTTTGTTGATTTGATTACCTTGTCTACCTGCCCGAAAAGGCGTTTCTTATGAATGAAGCCATCAGCATCAGGCAACTCCTGGGATCTCTCACACCCTTTCGAACAATTTGAGTGCGCGACAATTAACAAGTCTGGGCGAGAGCTGGGTGAACGATACGTTGGAGATGATTCCAATCTTGTCCCAGCACGCGCTCTGAATTTCACCTACCGAAAACCCAAAAAAAAAAGTTTTCATTCACTTTTCTCCTGACTTTAGTCTTATTTTTTTTTTTTTTTGGCTTGCCAGCCAGTTACGCCCGCACCTTTTGTGGCCACTTTTTCGTGTGTTTCTCTTAATTTGTATCTCAAATTCTGTTTCATTTATGATTCCTCATTTCTTGCTCGTCTTTTTTTCCTCGAGATGCTATCAACTTCCATAGCAAATAGCGAGACGCTGCACGTGATTCAAATTTTAAAATGCTGCCAGCTCCTTGGATTTGATTTTATGAATGAAACCAACCTGAGACAAACAAACAGCTTGATACTTTGTTACTTGAGCATATTTCATTAATATATTTTCGGCTATTCCCCAGCAGGAAGCAGTTGCCTGAGGAATCCGCTGCTGGGTATTTAGGTTTTGCTGTATGTGCAACCCCCATGCGAGCTCAAGGCCAGCTTTTCGTTTGTACTATATGATTTATTACTGCCAATAAATCGAGCTTGCCAGCATACGAGAGCATTTCTTGGTTTATTTCACGCTCTAATTTTCCTTGATAAAAGCTACTTCATACGCGCGCGGCAGCAGATGGAAAAGTCTATGGCAACATTTGCCACACGCATTATTTCTGCATAATTTTCCAATATTTTATATGACAGCCATAAAAATTGTCAGCACAATTAGAAGCAGGTTGCAAAAATTCCAATCCAACTTGTTTCCGAAATAGTCAGACATCTATTTATCACAGTGAGACAAGTAAGACGTTATCTTGACATGGGATAAGTTAAAGAGAGCGTCTAATTCAAGTTCCAATAGAAATGCTGTCCATAGAAATACTCTCGAAATACAGTTCTTCAAATATTCCAAGTATTTTCTTTTCTCTTGAATTTCTTAGTTACAAGCTTCTCTCTTTTTGTTTATTGACGTTTCTTTCTTTACCAAACGTTCGTTCCGGTTCCCAATCGTATTCTTTGTGCTTTAAATTTGGAACTAGTTCCACAACCAAGCTACTTCATTTATAACTAGCTCCAAAATCTGCTTATGTTTATCTTGTTGCTGCCAAGAGATAAATACGAAGCAAATGCAGCTAATCAAGTTGACCAAAGGGTTACCGAGCGTGTCCTGGCATATTAGCAGGGCGTTATATCACTCTCTTGGGGCGGACAATGCTTTTCATTTCACAGTCTCAAAATCATAATTCAAGTCGGCCCTCCAAGCAAAAGCAGGTCATTTGTTATGTTCCGCCCGAAAACTCGCATTGGGCCCATGACGAAAGTGCCAAGTGACATATGTAGAGATGGGCAATGGATGTGTGTGCGTGTGTAAGTTTGTGTAAGTGTGTGAAAGTGTATGTACGCGTGTGTTCGTGTGTGCATGGCTAGTTCTGGGGATGTTACACAGCAAAAAAGGACAAAGACAAAGGATAAACTAAGTTTTTATGTACTTAAAGATTTGACAAAAAAAAAAACACTTAAAATTTTAAGCACGATTCGTCTTGGACATTTCTTTTATAAAGAATAAAATAAAGAAAATTAAAAAGCAGCTCTGGACTGGAGATAAGAAACCTTATTTTAAGTACAAAAACTTATTTAAGCCCCGGATTAAATATTTTGTGATCAGCTAAAGAATAGTTGAACTTATGAGATTTCTAACACGGCTAGGCTTATTTTCAATTGTTTTTTTTTTCAGTGTAGTTTCCAATATGCACTTGCCGTTGACAAATGATGCGCCAGACACAAGATTCTGTGATTTATCAAAAGTCAAAAAAAAAAAAATTATAAAAATTTTGCAACGCTTTGCGAAATTTTTAAGGAAATTAATGGATGCCATTTCAAAGTAAGTCGAAGCCAGGGCCAAAAGTGCGAGGTAAAGAGTTTTGCCACTAGGCTTTTGGTTCAATGCACCTCAGGCGCGTGGGTGGGGATGGTGTGCGGTGGGGGGGATGGTAGTGGTGCGGGTGGTCCGGCTGCAGCAGCTGTTTTACTGCTGCCTTGGCCTCTGTCCGGTGCGGCAAGCGTATCGATTTTAGCTCAGACGCCGTCGCAAACGTGACGAGCATTGCGAATGGGCTGCTCGACGGCTTGGAGAGAGGAGGGGTTGAGGGGGGGCTGGGTTGGAGAACCTGAGTTGTTGCAGCTTAAAGTTCAAAGTGTCAAAGAAATTAGTTAATAATTATTGGCTTCAACTTTCGCTTTGAGCAGCACTTGGAGCACTTTAAGCGCAGCGTCAAGCTGTCTGCCGGATCCGGTATTCGGGCTTAAGTGCGGACATGCTGCGAACATTTATCTTAATTGCCATTCAATTGGGGACACCTCAGCCTGCAGCAGCCGCAGCAGCAGCAGCAGCAGCAGCAGCAGACGCAGCGGAGAATTCAATTTGCATACACGCGATGTCGGCAAAGCCGTTGTCCATGTCCGCAGCTCCTGTGGAACCTGGCTGTGCCTGGTCGTGTGTCTTTCGAATTCCATCTACACGCTGCATGCCTCCTGCTGCTGCCACGGCTTCTGTTCTCATTGCTGTTCCTGTTGCTGCCGCAATCACCGATGCTCAATGTTTGTGCAACTAATTAACATTTTTAATGGGCAATCCTTGTAGGCATTGAGAACTTGCCGCGTCGTCAACAAATGAAGTGGAACAACATCTTAAAGTGAGCCCAGAGATTTGATTTAGAACGCAATTAATATTGATTTTTTTCCACATCTTTGCAAGAAGCAACATCGAAGTGGAATTAAAAGAGCGGCTCAGAACAGAAGCTAGAAATTTCCTTAATTTACGATCAACGCAAGCTGACCTCAAACACTCAGACATTCTACCATATGTCATTGTGATATGAAATGTTATGATATGCTTATGTTTATGTAAATAAATATTCAAAGATGCACATACCTGAAATTTCACATGATTTATTGGTTGCCTTCTTTAAGTAAAGTCAAACAGACATTTATATATTCATATATCTGAAAAAAAGAAAGAAGAAGAGAGCATTAAAAGAGAGTAGGAGCAAAAGAGAAAGAGAGAGACTAAATAAGACTGTGAGTATCAAAGGGTATTAGATTGTGAACACAGTTCAGGACTCCTACTACTCCTCCCCCTCCTCTGGGCTGCTCATTTTCCTTCTGATACTCCTACTCCTCCTAAGACTTCTTCGCTGCAGAATTAAAACTAGCAGGCCTTACTTCAATTTGATCAGAATCGAGTTGAAAGGCAACTTTTTACATACATACATACTTAAAATGCATACATATGTATATGCATAAAATGCATGTGTGCACATGCATACATACATACATATTTTCATACATACATACACATGCATACATACATGCATACATACGTACATACGCATATAAATACAAACATATATACACATGCATGGATATATACTTGCATACTTACATGCATGATGTGCATGTATGTGTATATGCATGTATGTAAGTAAGTATTAGCATGCATGTATGTAAGAAAGTATTACATACATGCATACATGCGTACATACACATGCATATCATCTAGATGATGGCTCTGCGTATGCCTTTATACGTACACATATGTGCACATACATCTATGCATATACATACATATACACAGAGTGTACATACATTCATATATACCAACTTGGCATATATATATATATATATATATATATATATATAAATATATATATATTTATACACACATGTTACAATACTTTGCACATTCTCCGTACCTTTACTTCAGATTGTGGCCAAAAGCAAAAACCGCCGTTAAATTCAATAAAATATGTCAAAGTTCCGAAACGTCATAAGTAAATTATTCACAATAGATTTTTGTTTGATTGACACACACGCGTCGCCGTGGCATTCGTTTGAATAGATTCGTTTGATTCACAACTAATTCACATGAAATTCGAGGCAAAAATTGGCAGATATTATGTGGCACGTGTTGGGGGCGTGTGCGGCTCTATTAGGGATACGAGCTTGGGCGGGTGGGGTGCGTCCCGAACGAATTGGCATAAAAAAGGAAGGCATTTCATTAGTCGATTTCTTGAGCCGCACTTTAATAACTTAACTAAATTGCTTGACATTTAGTTGACAAATGTCTTAATAAACCAAGCTGCAGCATTGTCACGAGATGGGCTAAAATAATTTGGTCTGGCCGCCAAATGCCCCCGGGAACTGGTCCTCGAGCAAATGCAAATCGCGTCGAGTCGAGTCGAGTCGAGTCGAGGAATTTATCATCCATGATGATATCGTTGTCGCAACTACAAGACGATTCAGCGCTCGCCCAAGTGTAAGACTATGAATAATAAAAAGGGTTAAATTAGCATTTTCACATTTATTTGAGCGATGACATGCCCAGATACGACTTATAGACGCGCCACCCCGATCCCGTCTACCTCCCCGACTCCTTCGCTGGCAGGGGTAACTCCTTGAGCGCGTGCTACGGCAATCATGAGGCGTGTTAGCGCTGGTTAGGGCAAGAGTTGGAACGAGTTAAGAAATTGCCAAAGCAATTTCCGATGACACACATGAAAGCCAACGCTCTGGGGATAATCACCCAGAGCCAAGCAGGAAGAGCCCAGGCCGGAAGCCAAGGACAGTTTAAGATGAAGGCGCTGAAGTCTAAGTGTGAAGAGATTATTTGATTAGAGAAAGCGTCAGCTACAATTGAGATGAAAGCAGAGATGGCAGCCGATAAGGAATTATGCTAAAGGCATATGACCAAGAGGGTATGGGAAACGAGGCTAGAGGAAAAATAAACTGAAGGATTATTTCTATCAAAACAAAGATCAGAGTTCTGGAAATTGAGAAGGTAAGCCTTCGAAATTATAATGTACTAGGCCAGAGGAAAAATAAGCTAAAGGATTATTTCTATCAAAACAAAGATAACTTCTGGAACTTGCTTTAAAAAAACCTTTGGGATTATAATGAACTTGAAGTTGTATAGATATAAACAGGGATCACTTCGTAAAACTTATATTCAAGAAACCCAAAATAAATTATAAACAAATTGTTTTCAAATATAAGAAAATACTTTTTGAATACAAAAAGAAGAACCTGAGCTCATAGAGTCTAGTGTATTAATTCATTGTATGTGATTCAACATAAAAGAATAAATGATATTGTTATAATTATTACTACACATTAGCCTGCACATTAGCCTTGAATGCGAACTTGAGCACTTCTTATTCATGCGCACAACTTGAAATTTGATGACTCAGAAAGTACTTGCTTTCGCTTAAAGCATAAATGCAGTTTGTTCTAGATAAAACCTCAGTATGAACTGCGGTGAGATGTCGAGAAATCAAACAAAAATCGCATACGTAACTCTCTTTTGTCAGCCT